AGCGTGTGAGTGGGTTGTGTGTGGTGTGTGGGAGAGTGTTGCCTTTAGACACTACGGTTACTTGATGGGGGTGGGGGAAGAATCAGAAGATGAAAAGGGAGGCACAGTTACTAGCAAATACTCGGTCCTTGTGTTCGCCGGGCCCCGACTGACGGCCCCAACCCTGCACCCTGAACACTAGGGCAAAGGGGCAAACACGCCGTTAAGTCTCTCCACCGAGAGAGGTTACCTCGATGAGGAGAAGACGGCTATGCTTGCAGGGGTCCCCTGTATAGCCTTAGGAGTAGTGGTAGGTAGTGAAAAGAAAGATATGTTCCATGACATGGCAGAACGCCAGTTAAAAAATATGTGAGGTGAGAGGAAAATGTATGGTCGTCCCCCGATGAGGAGAAGACAGCTTTTTTTTTCTTTTTTATATATAAAAAAATAAAAGAAAGAAGATTACCATGGCCCTTGTGCAAGGATAACACCCACACATTGAGAAATGGTCCAAAATTTTGCCACCAAAAAAACGAAGAACAAGATGAAAAGAAAATTTCAACTTCTTTTTGAAAAGAAAAATTATTCTCTCAATTTCACCTCACACTACCTACCTACCACTACTACTTGTAGGCATACGGGGAACCCCGTAGCAGCCAGAACCATGTTCACAAGAGAACATGCGGGGGATGATCCCGACCTGCGGGTGGGCGATACCGGCTAGGGGGCAGCCGGTAGCATCAGGGATCATGCCAACAGAACCAATCCCTGTGCCTTTCCTCAGGTCCCCTCCCCTACGATGAACATCAGCAGACTCTGCTCAATGCCGATCGGGGGATCGAGTGGTCTATCTCTAGGTGGAGGGAGCCAAGCATGCCCAGGAAGGTACATGAGCCCAATGGGGATTGAACCCACTACCTCCTGAATGCCACTTGCGAGCCTTACCAACTGAGCTAGTCTTTTTGAAAAGAAAATTTCAATCCTTGGCCCTTGCGCAAGGATTGTCAACGGGCCTAGCTCAGTTGGTACACCCATGAATTGTTGAAATGCAGACCCAAGTTCGAATCCAGATGCAGTCAGATCGACAAAATAACATACTTCTGAATTACGTAGGGACGGTCAGTTCGATGATGATATCTCCAGGCCGTCACCATTTTAAGAAGAAGAAAAAAAAAAAAAGGAAGGGAAATTTCAAATTTCAATTTTTTTAATGGATAAAAAAATCAGAGAATTCAAATCTCCGAGTTCATGAGATGCAGAGCACGAGAGATCCAGTGGCCAAGGAAAAGCTTGTTCATACCACAAGCGATGAAACTCGACGTGCTCGATGTGTGCGCCAAACAACATCCTCAACATAACCACCACTATCACGATGACAATGACTCGGGACTGATGCTCCCCGGAACGGATATGGAGGCCGAGCCTTAAGGCTCTGATGTTTTTTTGTTTGTTTGTTTGTTTTTATTTTTAGTTTATTTTATTTTAAAGAGGGCAAAGCACTATCAAAAAGGCGACGACCATCAGTAATGCAGTGAAAACACGCCCTCCCCCGCCCCCCGCCCCCCATTAAAAAAAAAAAAAACACGCATGCCCTGTTAATGCGAACCACAACTGAGAATATCATGAAAAGCTAACACATAAGGTGTCCGCATCACAATTTATTTTTCATTTTTCATGTGACCGAAACACACAACCCGTGCACTCAGCAACTTGGAGTAAGACTAGAACAGCCATTGACGTTTGAGAATCCACTGGGGGAGGGATCAAGCGCACAGAGCCATGACACATCAGATATAAATGCTGAAATACCGAATCATCCAAATGCAATGACATGCCAAGAACTCGCCTTATATCAAACAAATTAAAAAGCCGCACCTGCGATCAGTCCCGTTATTAAGAACGATCCCACAACATGAATGACAGGACTTATTGCAGAGCAAACATGGAAGTCTAACATTCATCTTTCAACTTCCAACAACCTTTCCTGTAGTACTTTTTTTTTTTTTTTTTTTTTTTTTTTGTACCATATCTCGACTTATGCGTGTCATCCTTGCGCAGAGACCATGCTAATCTTCTCTGTATCGTTCCAATTTTAGCGGATGTCCCCAAGGACAGTACTATGTGTTTTGCAAGGAACATGAGTACGGACGAAGCACAGAAATCCAGAATGCAAAATCACACTGAAGTCCAAGTATTCAAAGCCAAAGCAGATAGCAAATGGAACCGAGTAACCATCCCATTGAGAATGATACAGAAGAATCGTGAGTCAATGTCCATGCCCAACAGGGCAACACCAACAGCATAACCCAAATGTAGCTCTCTCTTGTGAATGGCGCCAGGCGCCCTATCTACTCTACAGCCTATCCTACAACTACAGCAATGAACAGCAACCAGACAACTTGACTACCAGCGAGTGATGATGTCAACACCAATGCCATATTCCACCATCACCAGGTACGTGTCATCTTCCCCACACTCTCCCTTGTTACCCACACAGCGCCCTTCACCTCCGAAGTACCACCTTCGCCCTCACCTCCCCTGCACCCTCTTACGGCCCAGGCTATGGCCGCCAGTGCCCTCAGTGCAGGCAGCGCCCTACTGCCTAGCGCTGGCCTGCTTGCTCTTAGCGCAGCACTGCCTTGCACAGCGCAGCACACATGCATCCGCGCAGCGTGCCCGCATGTGCCAGCATTGGCCAAGATCCCTGCTGCCTCGCCCTGCTTGCCTATATGCCAATGCAGCATGTGGGCGGCCTCCCTTCAGCCTGCGACCGGGAC